TTTGTTTCTAAGTTGTGTTCATTTACAGGCTCAATTTTTTTCCGTTTCTCCTTTTTGATTTTATATGGGGTTTCAAGTTGTTTTTGATTTATTTCGACGTAAATCACAACAACACACTTTTTTAATAAAGCAAACAAGTGTTAAGAGGTATATGTACGTGTAAACTACAATTACAAAAAATTGATATGAAACCCATGAAACCACCAACAAAAATGTAAAGCTAGCTTCCGTACTAGAACATGGTGTCATTCGTCGAGATAATTTATCGTTTTGTTTAATAGATCAAGAAATGTAAATATTCCCCTGTTATTTTTTATAAAATTATAAGAGAAATAAATTTTTTTCTAAATAGTATAGTTTATTATTTTGTAGAAAATCAAAATTTCGAAAATTTTAGTAATGTTTCAGAAATAACCGTTATTAATAATAGGTACCATTTTCCTTAATAAGGTAGAAATAAAATATAAACTATTTCCACGATTTACAAAGGCCTACAAAAAAATTATAGGTATTTTCCGCTATCCTATAAAATTTATATTTTCTGACTCAATTTCAAAAGGTTGAAGGAATTCCAAAGCACCTTTTATGGCATAATAATTATTTTCAATTCTACATACTATATTTAGCTGCTTTTAAAAACGTTCTAAGAAAGTCCAATCAGACCAATTTAATCCCTAAACTATTCCACACTTTTAAAATTTAATTACCTAAAAATATTAAAAACTATTTAAAATAACTTGTTTAGCAGACTGTACAATAGCTATCTTACAGCCGTATGCATAGTCGATCGCCAGCGACTCGCCAGCGATTCGCTGGCGATCCGCCGGCGAAAGCCCAAAAAGCTGGCGGCTCGCCGGAGATTGTCACCGGAATGTCATTTCACGAAAGTTTTCATGTTCTTTTATAGGGAATATCACCGGTATCTCTCGCATTTTATTCATGATTCATTTCTTAAAACTCAAAAAATAATGAACGAATATCAAATTTTTCCCTATAAAAGAACATGAAAACTTTCGTGAAATGACATTCTGGTGACAATCTCCGGCGAGCCGCCAGCTTTTTGGGCTTTCGCCGGCGGATCGCCAGCGAATCGCTGGCGAGTCGCTGGCGAGTCGCTGGCGAGTCGCTGGCGATCGACTATGCATACGGCTGTTAGTCACACGTAGCGCGTTCTCTGTCTGGGCGTCGAACACCTCTAGAAATTTGATGAACTGTAATTAACAATATATAACCCCTTCCATACGGTACGGCACTGTCAAGTTTTTCGTTTGTGTACCTTTCCTCTCTCTCCGTCTAATTAATTATTAACACGTTAACGGCCACCATGAGAGAGAAAAATCTGGTCCCACAGGCCAACTTTTTTTTATTGTGATTTTTGCTTCTATTTGGCACCAATTTGATAAAGCAATACCATTTCTTTAAAAATACTGTAAGATTTTTCTCTTATTCACTTTTTTTTTAGAGACACGCGTTATGTGTCGCGCGGCCCATGAAATCAAATATAAATCTGCGGGCCGCGCGACGCAAATACTATGTCGCATAGTAAAGCGGGATTTTCCTAGCAACGCACATTTTACGCGGCGTAGAACGTAATTCGGTCGGCGTAAAACGCTGAGGACATGTCTAATGAAAATCAAATGGAGTCGTTTTCCTACAGGGCGCAAAAACGACTTGCGTCGCGTAATACGGTCGACGCAACGGGACGACTGCTCGGAGAGAAGTCTATTCAGTCGTACGCTGCGTTTTAAAAGGAATGTGCTCCTAATTTTTAACAAAATAACTTCACAAAAACAACAAATTCGTTTTAGTGCTACTGAAGATGAACAATTAATTGAAGTTGTTAGTGGTTATCCTATTCTTTGGGGTATGAAACTGAAGGAATTTACAAATGTAGTGAAAATGGACACAATCTGGAACGAAATGGACAAAATGTGGTTATAATGTCAATTTCTTCTTACAAAATTTCATCTTGCAGTATTAAAAATGCCAAAGCAAATTTATTTTTACAATTATTTGACCCAATCATCGCGATGATCAGGACGCAACTGACAATCCTAGGAAAACACTTTTACGCAACGCGTTGGATGTTGCGTTGCGTCGGCCGTATTACGTTCTACGCTGCGTTAAATGTGCGTTGCTAGGAAAACCCGGCTTAATAGTCAATGAGAGGGCGTACTTATTCTCCCACCAATACGGGCCACGTTGCTGCGAATCTGTGCACGATGTGCTTATTGTCAGTTACTCAGAGGCGCAGTTAGGACGTAGTAGTGTTTGTTTTTCAAATCGGTGTAATGGGGAGTTATGAAGCGGAGCAAAAGAAGCTTTGTGGAATGAATTGTTGTCTGATGAAGAAAGTAACAGTGAATTTGGCGATGTATATTTGTCAGATGGCTATTCCCCAAGCGGTACTGAATCAAGTGATAGTGCTGAAAGTAGTTCCTCACTCCCTAAAAAGAAACTTATAAAAATTGATAAGGGAAAACAGACTGTTAAAAACAGTGGCGCTTCAACTAGCAGACAGGGCATACTTGATAATCGGCAAGACAATATTATTGACCAAGTGATACAAGACGTTATTTCAGAATACACTGTGGAAACTGACGAGAGCGAAAACGAAAATGATATTCAAGTTTCAGCCAATACCGATGACCTGTGCAATTTACAGTGGCGGCCCGCTGATGGTATGTCCCTAAAAAATATTCCTTTTGTTCCTGGAGATGTTGGCATTAGCAACACAATCTACGCAGATTTTTATAATAAAGAACCAATTGATATTTTCAAACTTTTTTTGACAGACGATATTATATTGCACATGGTAAACGAAACTAATCGATATGCAGAACGTTTATTGAAAAATACGATGCCAAAATCCCGTATAAAGAAGAGGATTTCTACCGATAAGTTAGAAATGGAAAAATTTTTGGGTATTCTTCTATGGATGGGCTTATGCAGATTTCCGACGCTGAGGTCTCCTTGGAAAAAAGGTCCCCTTTATTTCAATCAAATTTCCAAACCTATGTCCCGAAACAGGATTGAGCTTCTTTTTTCTATGTGGCATTTTAGTAATAACGAAGACGATGCACTCGAAAACGACAGACTACGAAAAATAACTCCTTTAGTGACAAAACTAGTAGAGAGGTTCCAAGCACTTTATACTCCTGGTAAAAATATATGTATCGATGAGACCATGGTCCCATTTCGTGGTCGCCTTCGGTTCAAACAATTTATCAAGAACAAGAGACATAAATTCGGAATAAAGGTGTACAAGCTGTGTTGTCAGGGTGGCTACACATACAATTTAAAAGTTTATTGTGGCAGCGACTGCACCGAAGGTGGGCAGGCGTCCGCGAATGTGGTATTCTACCTTATGGAAAAACTTCTGAACGATGGTCGACATTTATACACAGATAATTACTATGCAAGTGTCTATTTGGCTACAGAGTTATTAAAAAAAAAACCCATCTAACTGGTACGTTGCGCATTAATCGCAAATACAATCCTAAGGAGGTGGTCACAAAAAAATAAGATCCAAGGAAATATTTGCCCAAGAAAGTAATACAGGAATAATGGTTCCCAAATGACATGACAAGAGAGATGTCCTAATGCTAAGCACGAATCACACAGACAGTCAACAGAAAATACAACAAAGAGGTGGTGACATTGAGAAACTGAGTGTTGTTATTGATTACAATAAGGCAAAATCTTATATCGACCTATCAGACCAAATCAAGGCGTATTCATCTTCCCTTCTCAGAGGCACAAAATGGTATCGAAAACTTGCCATCGAGTTTTTGTTGGGTTCTGCAGTCGTAAATGCTTACCTGGTGTACAAAGAAGTTACACAACAGAAAATATCTATAACAGACTTTCGTGAACAACTTTCTCTATCTCTACTAGGGATGTCAGAAACTGAATCGTTGCCAGACCAAGTGGAGAACAAGAAAACTGAAGGACACTGTTTAGTCGAGAATGATTCGCGATTACGTTGTATTGTGTGTTATCGCGATATAAAAGCAACAATGGACGTAAAAGTGCACTACATAAGGCAACACGTTCAAAATGGAAATGTTCGATTTGCATGAAATGTTACTGTGTTCCATGTTTTTTTGTAGATCACACTGCTACAAATAATGCAGTCTAATTTTTATTACCTAGTTTATGTTATGACAAGAGCTTTATTTTTACTGTTTTTTTTGTGTTACTACTCGCGCAGAGTGCGCAGTTTTTTTTTTTTCTAAATCAATAAATAAATATTATCTTATCAGCTACTAACAAAAATTGCTGCGCCAACATTAATGTGTGGTTTCCTGGACCACGCTCTATCTATTCCCATAAGGATTGTATTAATGCGCGACACACGGCCGAGTTACGCGGCAAAACACACTACTTCCACGACTAAGGCGTATCTATCCTAATACATGATCGAATGCTTGAACACGAAAAAGTGTTAAACGACATGCCCGTTCGTTCACATTGAAAATATCGCTTACGAATTATTGGAACTTGCCGTACAAAAAGTTTGTCTAACTAACCTAATCTCTTTCGTATTCATAAGCTCCGCTCTTAGTTTCGATAAAAATTTTGACGTTACTGCATTTCTGCAATGCCGGTGCACATAGAGCCGTCTCAATGGTAAGTGCTAATTTACAGAAGTGATACTCTCGTTTTTGTTTGTCACTTACTGACTTACTATTACTAATTATTGTAGATAATTCCTTTTTTCTAAACTTCACTCACTAACTAATATTTAAAATGGCTAAGGTACTCATACTCGTTACTCGATTTTTTCACGAGTACCCTCTAAAATTTGTAAAAGTAATCATTTGCTTTGAGTATTATTCATATAAGTACTTATACTTAAATATTTATAAGTTTTTGTACTTTAACGCAGTGCCCTGCCCAGCTCTGCTCTTTACTTCCTGCAAGTTATGAGACAAAATAGATACTATTTTCATCATGTTCTAGTAACACATAATAAATACCTTCATTCCAATACTAACGTTTTTTGAGGTGCCTCTGGATGGACCCCCTTTTAAAATTCCTAATGATTCCTGAAAATAATTTGGATTTCTTTTCGTGATCTATAGTCATGTTTCACGCACAAATTTTGATAATTTCAAACGCGCCATTGAAAATGGACGGCGACGGGCACTTTTCGAATTTGACGTATATACGACAAAAATTTTGACAAATGTGAGGATGATGTTTCGAAAAATCAAATGATCCTGATGCGTATCTACCAACTGTTCTTTCTTAGAATGTTGGTAATGGACCGTAATAACGTAAAGTCCCAGTATAATTGATAAGTAAAGTCAAGGAATTCAAACTTCCAAATACAACCAAGCAACTGCTGCCGGTAAACGAAAAATTAATAGCATTGAGATAGAATAAAATAGGGTTGCCACCCATCCTTTTTTTAAAAGGACATTCCTTTTTTGAAACAAAATGTCCTTGTGACTTTTTAAAGTTTTAAATGTCCTTTTTACGGTTACAGTACATAAAAAGAAAATCAAAGTATGTGGGTTACAGCAAATGTCTCTTTTTCTACGACAAATGTCGTTTTTGACTTTGACTAACAGCACATATTTTTGGAAGGGACATGGTTTGTATAAAAGTATACAAGCTGAAGACCTTTTTTTTTAGAAGCTCGGTAAGAAGAGGAGGAAGATTTCTGTAGTTCAGCCAATTGCTCGGAGGTATGTGGCACATACTTTGATTGTATGTGGCCTGTCGTGTCTTATTTGTCATTTTGGATTTTTGGTTGTTTTTAACGAATATTCTAACTTTTACGTTTTTTTTTTAGTGTTTTATTTTTAGTTTTTGTTGTTGTTTTTAATTGTGGAGTGTTAATTTAAGACTATTGTACCTATTAAGATTAGGTTCATAAACTGCCGCGTTAAAGAGGAGGCGGATATTCTTATATTTATCGTGGATGTACCACAAGAACAGGTGGCAAAGAAGGATTGTTCACTCTTGTGAAAGATCCAGTGAGGTATGTATCAAACATTGAATGTGAAATAGGAATTGTCCTTGCCATAACATTGTAGTACAATGATTGTATGTATTTTTAAAACTTGAATTGTGGCTTAAGGCAGCAAATAGAGAGGACTTATTAGGAAAGAGTGCTAAACCCTTAAGTAAAAATTACAAAATTTGTGAACTACACTTCCAGGATAAATTCGTTTATCAGTCAGGAATAGTATTTCCCCATTCAAAACCTACGAAAAGAGTCACAGTTTTGCAAGGTAAATAAATAAAATTTATAGTTAAATAATACAAAAAGTTTGTTACTCGTCTTGCTTGTCATTTTTTACATTACACTTAGTAGTTTAAAAAATAAAATGATCAGTACTAATAATCTTAGAATATCAACCCATACATTCCATTTTATAGAAATACCTCGGAGGTAAACTGCACTATGTCGACAACTTATGCAAATTAAAATAAAGTAGTTTTATTATAGTCCAAGAGCTAGTAACACAAATTTCATTAAGTGTTTGATGCACTTTGAAATTTTGTAATTTGAAATCATTTGGATGGAAAAGCAGATATACCTGTGTTGGCTAGACCCACCCCGGGACACCAGGTACTGCGCATAATAGAAAGGGGTCGTAAAATATGACCCAAAAGGTGTTTGATTCAGAGGCCAACAAACAACAATAATTGAAAGTTTAGGTGATTCTAAAAATACTATTAATTTAGGCAGACACTTTTAAGAGGGTTTATAATTAATAAATCAACCCCAAAGTTGATTATTTTAAATATGATTTGAAGTGTTTGATTCGCGCTGAAATTTTAATAGCGTCTTAATTAAATTTAAAAAAAAATATTCCAAAAAGGCAGACACTTTTTCCGGGGTTTAATTGCCGGCCAACATAAAACTAAGTCCTATTTATTATAGTAATAAATTGTAATATATTATTATAAGCAATTCCAAACTTCTATCAATATGTGCTCGGTGGCGCAGAGCGTACAATGGTCAAAATTTGGATAGTGTGGATAGCAAGTTGGTTGTTCGGGCCCCCGAAACTTTTAGTTTTTTTTTTTTTGTTTTTTTCTTGTTTTTTTTTTTTCTTAAAAAAAAGGAAAAACTAAACATTTTAAATTACCAAGACTGTGAAACAATAAAACAATAATATTTTCCTTTTTTTAAGAAAAAAAAAACAAAAAAAAAACTAAAAGTTTCGGGGATCGAACCACTGTACTTTATTTTCTGTATTGTTATTTCTTCTGTGCTATGACGATGCTAAATTGTATGCACCAGAGATTAGGGACACAAAGATAGGAAACGCAACGACCTCAGCAGCGATGGCGTCATCTATGCGTCTCAGATGTTAAGTAAAGTTACACGTCGTTTGTCGACAGACAGTAGACGTGGACAATTTGTAAATATAAATGTCAATTATTTGTATGTATATCGTAAAATCCTGAATTTGAATTTTAAATTTTGAGTTCATGATTATGTTATCCTCTAGCCTAGATGAACTAAGCAAAATGGTTGTGGCTGTTTTGATGACAATAATTATATTTTGTAATATTACAATAAGTCGGAGAACGTATTGCATTAGTAACCTCCGAGCAATTACTACTAGAGGAAGTCTTCCCCCCTTCCCCACGCTAAATTTTATTAGCAACATCTACCCCCCCGGAGGGGGAAATACCTCTCCTATAATTGGCTTATTTAATCAGCGTTGCCAGGTTTGACAGCGCCAGTTCTGACACTTTCTGACACGTCAATTTTTTATTTGTATTTTACGGAAAAAATAATTATAACGTTGTAAGGGTTGTAAATATATATTTAAGATTTATTTTTTCTAATTTACTGAAAAATGAGATAACATTGAATATTTATTATTGAAGTTTATATCGTTATGCTAAAACAATACTAGAACAACTTAAATAACGGGAATTTTGACTATTTTGAGTTATGCAGATCATTATGATCTAAAAAATGTCTGTCTGGTGCTATGGTATAAAAACATTCATTTATTTGAGCACACTTGCAATATACATTTTATTTAGTTTTTAAGTTATTACGTAGTAGTACATCCTAAAATGAATTTTTCCGTTTGATGTGAGATTCATTATTCTACATTTTTGTTGGTGAAATAAGATATTTTAAAATGTCCTACTGTTTTCTCTAATTATCTAAAAAAGTTTAGAACAATACAAATACTGTTTTAAGAAAAAAGAGATATACCTTTAATTAAACACACAATTAATCAATTATACGATAATTTAAAGCAGAAATCCAGAAAACTTCTAAAAATGTGTTATTACAAGGAAATAATTATTAAAAAAAAGTCGGCACATTAACATTGACGATAGGTTTTTTTAATATATGTATATCATACAAATCACAACAAACTACACAAAATGACATTATTAAGAATTTAGCAATACACAAGTTAAGTACAATGATGACATTAAAAGTTGATTTTCTCGAAATTACTCTTTTTAAATTGTCTCAGTACATACCTACTATTTTTCTAGCACAATGATATTTGAATGTGCATTGTGTGATAAATGTGCATTGTGTGATAAATAATATATTTTTTGCAGGTTTCTATTAACAACGATTCCAAGAACTTTTGAAAATATTATTAAAACGGCCTTCACAAATATAATTCTCAATCAAGAGCTTTTGATCTAACATACAATTTTTATTTTCCAAAAGGTTACAGCTACGTAAGAAGAAAGTTTAACAACACTTACCTCTTACCAGACCCAAAATATAAAAATGTTACCAAGCAATTGATGGTTCTTCTGGTTTCCATAGTGAAATTTTCCTCGAAACTGCTAAAAGAAAAGTGGCAGAGGCAACAGAAGAAGGCAAAAAAGTCTGTTGCAAAACAGAAACAAGAAATTTGTTAACATATAAGGTTGAGGAATAGGTCCATCAAGTGTATATTATTTAAAAAAGGCAAATTTGACACGAATAACCTATTTGGATACACTTTAAATACCTTTAAAATACTTTATAAGATTAAAAGGAAAAATTTAAATATTAAACAGGACTTATATGTTTTTTCATTGAAACAGCTGTTTATTAGCTTATTAAATATAATGAATTCACTTGTTTTATTATATGCTTGTATGAGTGCTTTTATTTTCCTTTGAAAAGCCGAAACGGTGAGGGAATAAAAAATTAGTACGAAAATTACGATATTTAGTGTAGCTTTCATTTACACTAAGTAGTGACTATATTTTCCTGTATATAATAGGGAAGAACTGAATTGATATTTAAATGGGCGGGCTGCGCGGTGGAGACTTGCAAAATCCATAATGCAAAATCCAAAAATAGTGTAATGTAAGATATTTTCGAATGCCACAAAATGTGGATAAATTCTTATCAAAGAAAGGACAAACCTAATTTAAACAATAATGGTTAGTAAAATGCACAAGTGTAATATGTTTAGAGACAGTGAAAAGTTGCTAAAATAAAAAAATATATAAATACTTTTTATTTTAGCATGAAGTTGCCCTATCCACTTTGAGGAAAGAAGTAAACATAGACGCAAGAGAAGAAAACTGAATTCCACCAGGTGCATGGGGCCTCATTAAGTAAAGAAAATAGGTATTTTAAAATTTTAGCAGATAAAATAGTAGTTTCCTGTCCCAATACGACGGTCCTTTTTCAAGAAATACTATGCAAAAGAAGTTTTTTTTAAGGTATGCGCTTAAAAATAAAAAACAAATGTGACACGAGATCAAGATGATTGTGCATTGTGGCACAATGAAAGACAAAAACTAGTCATTGCTTCAAAATTTGGAGACATTTGTAAAAAAAAGAAAGGTCTTCTTTAAAAAATCTCATAAAATCTTTTCGTTTTTTCTAAAGCCACCCAATATGGTATGGACAATAAATCCAGAGAAAAGTAAGATTTGGAAATTTATTTGCAAGAAAAAGTTTTTAAATGCAGACTTTTTATTCATTCCGAATTTGATTATATTGCTGCTACTTCGGATGGAATTTAAAACAAAAAACAAAACTCTATGATAAGAGTTGGAAAACCTACCTTGAACATCATCACCTTTTGAATGGATTTAGCACTTATCAGTAAGTACTCTGAAAACACATTCTCTAATCTTGAAAAATGTTTCATAAAACTGTATTCAAAAACTGCTAATATTACTTCCAATAACATTTTAATGGCATCTTCAAAATCTAAATTGCCATCGACTGAAGACGCCCTAAGATTACA